TTGGGGTGGTGGATTCTGATGTGGGGGAGTTGGGGGTCCGATGGGTCTTGGGGTTGCGGGGGCTGAGGATGATTCATTTGGGTTTTTGCAGAGGTTTCGGGTTTTTTTGTTTTGTTTGGTGTGTGTTTGTTTGGATAGTCGGAAAATGAAAAGGAAAACGGATGGGAAGGTTGGGGAGTGACGAGAGGGAGAGTGGAGAAATGGGCTTAAATCCTTATCATCATTTTTTATTATGCGCATATGCCAAAGTCCAACACAGACAGAATGACACTTGTTTTGTTTCTTTCCGCTTTCCTCGTTCTTCTTTCCTTTTTCTCTTTTTTCTTTTTCCGATGAATGGGCTTGGATTTGGTCCGTCTGGTAGATTGAGCAATGGCCCAATTTTTGCTTTAAGTCAAAATCGTTATAACCCAATTTGTAGGCCCACCAACTATATTTCAGTTGGCATTAAGAGCACTCACACCCATTTGTCATGGCAAATGGCAAATGGCAAATGGCAAATGGCAAATGGCAAGGGCAAGAAAAGGGATGTTACTAAAAAATAAGAAGAAAAACATATAAGGGGGAGATTAGGGAATGAGTTGCTTGATAGTGATGTTGGGGAGATCGAGGAATGAGTCACTCTATAGGAGGGATGTTGGGGAGAAAGGGGGCTAGCTACATGGTATAGCCTAAGCTCAATCCCATCTTAATACAAGTTTATAAATTGGAACAATGGATAATGAATAAGATGTCTTTTTTCTTGGACATGAACAATGGATGTAAGCAAATCCAGGAATTTTTCAGCGAATATGCACTTTTTAAAGGCACAAGACATGATCGATGAATAAATTTTTATAAAGATTTGGAATTCTCTAAATAAATAAATAAATAACTTGATGCGGTGGGGACGTAAAAAAAGGGATATGAATATGATGTTTTATAAAGACTTTTTTTTATTTAGCTAAGATGTTTTGTAAAGACTTGGATGGAGTTGTCTCCAAAAAAACAAAAAAGAAGACCTCGCGATTGGAATTTGGGTCGATGGCCTTTGCGATTGGAATTTGGGTCGATGGCCTTTGCGATTGGGACTTGGATGTTTTGTATTAAATTATTAATAATAGTATATAATCTCTATATATAAAACAAAAGGCAGAGAATTGTGAAACATCCAAAATACCAGAAAATGTCTTTAGTTAATTCAAATATTATGAATTAAAATGTCCTACTTTTATGGGACATAACTACTCATATTATATTTTCTTCATTCTAATTAAAAAAAACCAATTGGCACATGCATGAGCGTGTGCCAAAGGGCTAGTACTGATTATGACGAAGTGCAAGTCTGAGGGCACTTTGGCAGCAGGTTCTGTGGAATTAGGCTTTACAATTATTATTATTATTATTTTTTTTTGGGGTTCTGGTTCAAAATGACGTCGTTTTAGTCAAGAACTTGAAATATATATATATATATATATATATATGAGCGTTGTGCTATGCGCAACAGCCCAAGAACACAACAAACAAAAGGAGTTTTGCTAAGGCATTTCCTCAAGCAGTTTGTGGGCACTTCCATGGCAGAGCAAAGGTACAAATTTAGCCAACTTCAAAGCGTTTTCCGGTGAGGGGAGGTGCAAGTGCACCTCCTTGCGACTCTGTGAGTCTACCACTGGATATGGGCACTTATATTAACTTAATTGCGGTCAATGGCCTAAGCTCAATGCCATCTTAATACAATTTTATAAATTGGAACTTAAGGGTTAAGGATCTAACCCAATTGGTCCCACCTATTAGTATAGTAGTCATGTTGACAGAGACCCCCAAAATCAAGTCCAACTTGGTGATACAAGTTTCCAAATCAACTATCAAACAAGTTTTTGACAAAAATAGAAGATGGTTTTTGAGATAGGCTAGCTGCTGCCAAAATGTGATCAAGTTTTTGGCATTTTACTAATCTTTCTCAAACCATAAGCTTTGATTGCTTGAGTGCTTGGGGGCCCTAAACATACATGCATTTATCCAGCGAAAACAAATTTGAAGTTTAACCAAAAATCAAAATGTTTAAATTGACATGTACCGATTTTCTTGCTTGGATTCATAAACAAACAAATTTTTTAAGTTCATATATTAAAAATTCTATCTAAATAGTTGTCATTTCTAAAATCATGAGAGAGTAGAAGTTTTAAGAAAAAATAAAGAAAAGAAAACCCTGTACATACCACATTGTCACCATCACAAACTCTGCCACCACCACCACCATGGTACCACCGCCGCCTTAGAATTAGCAGCGCCTTTCACATACTTAGAATGAAGTCTTTTACTCCTCCATATCTTGGCATATGATCAATGGGTCAAACTCACACATTGTGTTTAAATATTGTTTTGGTCAAACAAATTCCCAATAAAATCATGATATGTATATGTTCATACTTAACTTCCTGTATTGAATGAATCTAACATATATATATATATATATATATATAAATATATGGATTAGAAAGGATTGATTATTTATTTTTATTTTGTTAATTTGGAAAAGAGAATTTGTGCCATATATCCATAATGACATGGTGATTTCTACCAATTAAATCATCAAGCTGCCATTGATTAACACTGGCAGGCAGCAAAGCAAAAGAAAAGAAATATTTAGTAGACAAAAAAAATAACCAAAAACAATAGAGCAAGAAAAGAGGAAGAGAAAAGGAAAACCTGGCCCATATATATATGCAACCAATGAAATTAAAAGGGAGTCGGAAAAAAGGCTTCTTCCATCAGGCCATCATGTATATAGAATAGAGATAGATAGCCTTTACTTATAACTTGTACTACTGAGAGACTCCTCCTACAGACTCTCTCTCTCTCTCTCTCTCTCTCTCTCTCAGAGTGACCTGCCTGCCAGCTGCTGCCTGCATATTTATGTAATATCTATATACTCATTACACAGATTTGTACTGACCACACTGATCACCTGCTCTGCTCTCTTGTATATAGCCTGGTGTACCCAGCAGCAGCCACTCACTGGTTTAATGCAGACCAGCACAAAACCTGTCGTTAAACCTAGCTACGTTAATTAATATATATGTACACACTCGTTTTGAGAAATTAATTGTTGCAATATTCGCTTGTGCTTACTTTTCATCAACCCTTTTCCACGTTTTTCAAAAAATACCACGACTCTCTCTCCCATAAGCAGAAGGGAGAGATGCCTATTTCTGTTTCAGCACCTAAAACCATACAAACTAACTCCAGAACAGAAAGAAAAAATGGAAAAGAAGAATTAATTCCCAGTTTAAATTTAAACAGAGCAGAACCAACAGTGAGTTGAAGATGATCAGGTTCTAGGGCTTTGATCATTTCCGCTTTCAAGTATTATATACAGTCTGTATGCTCAGAGCTTATACACAGTTTTCCTTTTCCTTCTTTTCAATAATATTCTCAACACATAAATTTAACATATACCTATCTCGACCTCCAACGTAAAAGAAAAAGGTTAGCTCTTTTTTATTGGTCACACCTAGTGACCATTAATATTACAAACAGTAGAATATTGGTCTATGCTGAAGAATCATATAATTCGTTACGACTCAAGATTCCGCATTGGAAAAATAGCATATCCTAAGAGCTCTCTTGGATATCCTTTCCTTACGAGCTGGTTTATAAGGGTAAGTTCTACCACGGGCTCTTAAGGTAGATAATTATAAATCTTTGTGACTGGGGGATATGTATTGATGCCTCATTCATTAAGCGACTACAACATATATCTGGCTGAAAAACTTGAACAACTTCGGTTTACAGCAGTACCAAAATGGAATTGTAGCAATCAATTCTAGTCACATTTTTTCGTAATTAAAGAATAAATAAAAGAAATTAACATATATAGATCCCATGAGAAGTTAATAAGGGCAACTTGGATGGAATTAAAGCAAAAACAACTTGTGAAACGAACTTTGGGGACAGACAGAGCTAGCTTTAAACATGGATTCTAAGCTTGTATGGGAATTAATTTGGAGATGATATGTATGTCAGTTTAACTAACAAAAAAAGGGAAACCAAAAAGCTGTATCTTGGGTTCTTTTCCCCACATGCATGATAGATGAGTACAGCAAAAACACCAAAACAGACGCCTTGATTTGCTTCTAAAATGAAAGCTTGAGTGACAAATCAACAGGATTATGATAACTGTCAGCCCCAATCCCATAGCCATAACTAGAAGCAGTAATATCAGAAGGTTCTTCATGGCTCCCCACTGAAACTGAAGCTTCTGCTGTTTGCCACATCTCTGTCTCCTTGGGACAAGTGCCTCCTCTCATCTCACTACTTTTGCCACCAGCAGCTGGAAAGAAATCATATTCCATGAAAATACCACCACCAGCTGAGCTCCCTTTTCTGTGCACTGCCCTAACCTCTACACCCTACAAACCCCAATACCAATCAAATTACATGATCAATTCAGCAAAGCAGTATTTAATCAGTATATTTAATCAAATTTAAAAATGGGTAAATATATTCAGAGTACCAAAAGAAAAGAAAATACATCAATCTACCAAAACAAAAGCAAATATATTCATATAGGACTCAGATTTTTGCTTCTTCTATATGTAAGATTAAACTTTATGTTTGTTCTACCTGATCATCATTGCGGTAGTCCGAGTGAGCTGTACTTCTTCCCACCACTTGGCCACCACCGGCTTCCGGGTTCAATCTGAGAAAACCAGAACTGTTGATTGGTGAACTAGCGGCAGATTTGCCACCCCTGCCGTTCAAGCCCACGTAATTCCGACTATTGAGCCTCTTCTTCTGCTACTCAAAGAAAAAAAGATACAAAAACGTCAGCAAATTTAAGCGTAAATTGAAAAAAAACAAAACAAAAAACAAACAAAAACTGTGGGAAA